ATAATAATAATGAGTAGATACATGGGCAAGAAAGAGAGAGAAAAGTGACAAAGTGGCCATGCATAAGAAGTTTGGGGCATGCACACATGGGAGAGGGAGAGGGAGACTACCAATACACATGCAGGGGAATTGTCCTAATTTAAGCTGAATTCCCAGCACCTGTCCAAATTTAGTTTCTCACATAAAAGTTTGAGATGGAGATAGTTGGTAGGGATGAATTTTAAATGCTGTATTTGGGATATATGGAATCAGCAAAACTGATAAAGACATATCTCATAATAGTCTATATACTGTCTATGGCTGGCAGGCAGTAGCTTAATAGTACATTGTGTCCTATCTCCAGTTGGATTGTTGGGGGAGGGTTGCAATTCGAGGCATCTGGAAAGAATGCGCCAAGGGAAGGTTTGCTTGGTAATGTGTTTATCACAGTATTTTCAATGTACAATAAACAGAATTGGCCACTTGAAGGAACTGGTGAGCATTTTAAGGCATTTTCCAAAGGCTGCCCCAGTAACAAGAATGGTTTAATAATGAACAACAGCAATAATCTGTTCCAGATCTGGACTACTGACTAACAGAAAAAGTCTCTTTTACAAAATGACGCCCTAAGCTCTGCTTTAACTGCCACCTACAGCTTCATGCTACAGAGTCCTGGTGCTTAGATAAGTACAATTCTTAAAATTCTCGGCTATAGCACTCTCCTGATCAGAGCCTTTAAATCTCAGAATTTTAGAGATTAAAGCCATAACAGTTAACACTGTATCAAACTGGTATAAATTTGTAGCATAGCTATGCTTCAAAACAAATTAAAATACCTGAATAAAGTAATATAAAAAATACCCTACATTCAGAAAAGATGGAAAGATACACAAAGTCCTGGGAAATGTCACTTTACTATGCGAGAAAAGAGGAATGTTGTATGGATGGCAGCAGCAATACTGATAAGATCAGTGCTAAACATGAGGAAGAACAAATGCTTAATCTGGAAGATGTTAAAACGGTTATGGGTATATAGTAAAAGAACTGACGTTATCCTTCATTCAGCTACAGTAGCAATTTATCGTACTTATTTCTTAGTTATTGCATAAGAGGGATCAATTGTGAGTAACTCATTATTTGTAGCAAGTTACTTCCAAGCTCTGGTATTTAGGAAGGAAGGAAGGAAACCTAGCCCCCTGCTGCAAAGCGCTTAAAAAAGTCAAAAATAGCTTGGATTGGTTTAGAAATGCAGTAAGATTAAAAAATAAAAATGGTGATGTCTACTTTCACTAATTTCCCATTAGCTATTGTAACCCCTGTGGACTATTTAGTTCAGCCCAGTGGGTGGGGAAATCTTATGAAGTGGCTATGATTCAAAATTTCAGTTTAAAAGGAAAGGGAATAGGAGAAGGAAGGAAGTGATATTTACCCTATAGCATATGTTCTTAACCTGTGGTCTGCAGACACCCCCCCCAGGAGGCACAGTGTCTTCACAGGGGGTCCATAAAGGCTTGAAAAAATGTTATGATGTTTTGCAGTTAAAATAGAAAGAAAGAAAGAAAGAAAGAAAGAAAGAAAGAAAGAAAGAAAGAAAGAAAGAAAGAAAGAAAGAAAGAAAGAAAGAGAAACGTAGAACAAAATCTTAATTTCCCTTGCTTGTTTGTGTAAAACTTGGCTTTTCTAACCTATTGACTCCATTAAAAATAAACAAAAGTAAAAAATCGGTTATGAAAATAACTGTTTGACAGCAAGTAACTGATATTTCTGCACACGGTAAGCACATGCAAGTGAATGATGCTGAGTAGCTGAGAGATAGCACATAACATTTCTTGCTACTGGGCAGGTAGTCAGAAGTTGTGGGAAGAGAGAGTTGGAGTCATTCAGTGTCAGTGTGAGTGAGTGTTTAGACTGACTCTGTGATTGTGTTTCTTCTTTGATTTCTGCTAGTAAAGTCATTTGGTTATTGTTGGGTAAAGCGACTTTTCTATATTATTGCAGTGAATTTTGTAACAATACATTTTGGCTGGGCCTCAGAATGGATCGCTTGCTCAATTTGAAATATAAAAGAACTGATGCTGTTGAGGGTGCCTCCTGTTCAAACAGCCTGTTACTGAAACAGCGACATCTACGTTGGCTTGGGCATGTCGTGAGAATAGCTGATGGTTGGATTCCAAAAGATCTCCTGTATGGAGAACTAGTGCAGGGAAATTGCCCCAGAGGGAGACCACAGCTGTGATACAAGGATATCTGCAAGCGGGATCTGAAGGCCTTAAGAATGGACTTCAACAAATGGGAAACCTTGACATCTGAGCGTTCAGCCTGGAGGCAGGCAGTGCAGCATGGCCTCTCCCAATTAGAAGAGACACTTGTTCAGCAGGCTGAGGCAAAGAGGCAGTCTGGAAACCAGCAAAATCAGGAGCTGGACAGGGGACAGATTGTATTTGCCTTCAGTGTGGAAGGGATTGTCACACTCGAATTGATCTTCTGAGCCACACTAGACGCTGTTCCAAGACCTCTATTTACAGCACGTTATCATAGTCTCTTGAGACTGAATGATGCCTGCTACTGTCCTGTTCAAAGCAAAATAAAGCTTCTTCCAGTCATCTTAAAAAGTGACTGCAACTAGTGTTGCAACTATTTGATGCAGTTTGGGGTTTTAAATCTTGGTAATTCATGGCAACAAAAGATAAGGTTAAGAACTGCTGCTCTAGAAGATGATACAGGCTCTTATCACTTTGGTTTAGTTCATGAGAAACTTTAAATATTTGATGCAGTTTAGGGTTTTAAATCTTGGTGTTCATGGCAACAAAAGATACTTAAAGGGGGTCAGTGGTAAAGAAAAGGTTAAGAACTGCTGTTCTAGAAGATGATATAGGCTCTTATCACTTTGGTTTAGGTAAAAGTAATTCAACAAGTTTATCTATTTTTAGTTATTGAAATTATTTTTACCCCACCTTTCTCCTTAAAAAGTACCTATGCAGTTTATATCATTGAAAGACAGTATTTAAAACAGAAAACAATGAGTATACAATGGTGGTTTACGTTGTTAAAAGACAATATTAAAGCTAAAACAATAATCAAATATTTAAAAGGAACAAAGAAATACCACTCTGAGAAAGGGCAAACAAAAGCAATACTGAAAACACATTTAAAGCAATAATGCATAAAAACCCATTTTAAAAAACCCTACT